TTCCTTCTTTCCTTTCTACTCTTCCTTTCTCTCCCTCCGTTCATATAGGGCATCATGCCCTTACCCGTGGCTGCTCTACTCAGAGGAATGTAAATTTTGATCCTTGAAACCTTTAAAGAAATCTAGGGGTATAAGGACTAGATTCCTTTCTTAAGGGCCATGCCTTAAACCTAATTCACCCTGGCTCTCATTGATTGGCCAACAATCGGTCCCAGCCCAAGCCCCATTTAGTGGTCAATATTTGGGCCCCAATTGGCTCAGAGCAAAAGTAAATATCAATTGTTTCTGTTTTGCCCAGAAATCCTGAGGGTCTTTCCCTCCGAAAATTTTTTTGACTAGTTAAAAGAGGCCATTCTTTGTCTCATTTCTTACCTAGCCTTAAATGTAGTAGTATACATCAAATTTCTGAAAGCTGCCCACTCTGTTAGGTGTTTATTGCTCAACAACTCCAGGAGAAATGCCAAGAACAGAACAGAGGTCTGTACACAATGTTTGTATATCTGACCAAGGTCTCTGATGCTGTCAGTTGTTAGGGCTTATGGAAAATATGTAAAAATACGGTTGCCCAGAGAAGTTCCTCAGCATTGTATGCCAGTTTCATGACGGCATGCTTGCCTGGGTTCTGGATTATGGACGATGCCCTCATGCTTTTCCAGTCACCAATGGATTGAAACAAGGCTCTGTACTTGCTCCCATGCTTTTCAGCATGATGTTTTCAGCCATGTTGCCAAATGCCTTCAATGACGACACATATGGCATCAAGGTTAACTACTGCACTAATGGTAAATTCTTCAACTTGAAAAAGCTACAAGCCAAGACCAAAGGGGAGGGAGTGTTGGTGCATGATTTTCTGTTTGCAGATGATTGTGCACTCAATGCAGCCTCTGAAGATGAGACTCAATGAAGCATGGATTGATTCTCTGCTGCTTGTGCTAATTTTGGCCTGACAATAAACACCAAGAAAACACAGCGCTTCATCAGCCACCACCCCACCATCTAGAGCCATCGGTTACAACAAATGGAAAAGTTTTGAATGTGTGTATAAGTTCACTTACTTTGGTAGTGTACTCTGCAGGGATGTACACAATGATAATGAGATTGATGCACACCGTGCTGGAGCTAGCTCAGTGTTTGGGAGACTCCAAAGGAAAGTGTGAGAGAGAACAGTAAGTATTAGACTGACTACCAAACTGAAGGCCTACAGAGCCACTGTGCTGACCTCACTGTACGCCTGTAGAACCTGGACAGTATGACAGCGCCATGCCAGGAAACTGAATCACTTCCATCTGAATTGTCTTAGGAAGATTCTGAAGATCACCAGCCAGGATAAGGTACCAGACACTGTTTCAGTCCATTGGTCATTCAGTCCTTTCTCAAACTAAACTGCCATGCATTCAAACTCTACTTCAGAGAGAGCAACTCCAATGGGGCTCGGCCATGTTGTTCAAATGCAAAACATACGCTTGACGAAAAGACTACTTTATGAAGAACTCAAACAGGGCAAGCATTCACATCACAGTCAAAAGAAGCAATACAAGGACACTCTCAAGGTCTTTCTTAAGAACTTTGGAATTGACTGTATGACATGGGAGACACTCACACAGGACCACTTAACATGGTGTGCCCACATCAGAGAATGTGCTGTGCTCTATGAATGGAGCAGAAGTAGCTCAAAAAAATACATGTGAAAATTTAGAGAATCCACACCAAATGTTCACATGGGATATTTATGCTCTACCTGTGGTAGGACATTCCAAGCTTGTATTGGTCTGATCAGCCACAGTTGGACACACTGAAACTTGACTCCTGCATAGGCACTTGACCCTAGCGATGTCATTTTGTTCTTCTTTGAGAATGAAGAACAACACCTAACCTTAATCACAGAAAGGGCACTAAATGGGCACTGCCTCCATCAAAAAGAGACCTGGGAAAGACCTTAGCTTAAATAGGCTAAGGCCTCCCATTTCATCCAATGCCATTTTCAGTCGTCCTGATCTATATCTTGCCACTGGACCCAGATGGCTCTGGAAGAGAAAGTGAGACTGGTGACTTTGCACAGCTCTGCCTCACCTAAATCCAGTCATGGCATCACCTTTTTGATGCCACGGTGCACTTCAAGAACAAAGGACGAACAACATTCCTACTCCTAAGCATAGCGTCTGGCACACAGTAGGAATTCAATAAATGTTTGCTGACTGACTGATAGAAGTTTGTGATTTTTTATAGTATTATTAAAATATTAACTTTAACGGTATAATAAATTAACTTGTTTATTTATATTAACTTTTGAAGACTCATTTTTCAGATTTTATTTTTATTATTTTTATATACTTGCAGTTAGTATATATGCATGTTATTCTGATTGTTTCTTTGTCATCACTTCACATGTCACACAATATTTCTTTTTATTCTTTATATTTGCCATTTCTTATGGCACAATAATATTCTATTATGTTCATATAATACAATTTGTTCAACTAACCCCCAAATCATGAATATATATATATATTATATATATATATATATATATATATATTAATCGTTTAGCAAAAAATTCAGATCATTGAAACTTTTTTAGATCAAGAGTTTTTAACCTGGGTTCTATGAACTTTTTTTCTTTAGATGTTGATACCTATATTTCAATATAACCGATATCCATTTTAACCCTATGCATTTTAAAACATCATTTGAAAAGAGGTCTTATTGTCTTCAACAGACCATAAGGGTGACCATACCACAAAAAGGTGAAAAACTTCTGCTTTAGATTAACATTTTTAAAAGGATAAAAAGCCTTCACAATTAAATGCAATATTATCGTTCAGTAGTTTATTTGACTCTTAGTAACCCTATTTGGGGTTTTCTTGGCAAAGTTACTGGAGTGGTTTGCCATTTCCTTCTCCAGTTCGTTTTACATACGAAGAAAGAAGCAAACAAAGTGGAAGTGGCTTGCCCCGATCACACAGCTACTAAGTGTCCGAGGCCAGGTTTGAACCCAGAAACACTGTGTTCCTGACTCCAGGCCTGGAGCTCTGTCCACTGTGCCCGCTATGCGCCACCTAGCGGCCCTGTCTTTGAACTACTGTCTCATATAAAGATGATTCCTATGTAAAGGCGGGGAGGGGAGTTTCTGCAATGCTTTTTTTTGGGGGGGGTGAGGCAATCGGGGTCAAGTGACTTGCCCAAGGTCACACAGCTAGTGAGTGTTATGTGTCCGAGGTCGGATCTGAACTCAGGTTCTCCTGATACCAGGGCAGGTGCTCTATCCACTGCCCCACCTAGCTGCCCTGGTTCTGCAATTCTAATGGTCAGAATAAACGAGTCATATGGTTAAAAAATCTTCATGTTGTCATCATAAATAAAACACTAGGTGAGATCAAGAACAAACTATTTCCCAAAGTGGAATCCTGGATGACTGAATTCATGATCTGGCTTATTCCCTTCTCTGGACTCAACCTGTCTTCAACTCAAAGAGGATAATCAGATGAGACTAATCCACAGTGGCATTTCTTTTACAAATGCTCTACTCAGAATCCTACCACTTAGCACAACTTCTAAATTAACACATACATACACTTTTGTGCAATCTACTTTTTTCTTCCCAAACCTTTTTTTAAATTTCCTTTCAGTTTGTAGTAAAATACGGGTTGGGTCATATGCAAGAATGTATACCTGCTGAACCAGCAGGGGGCAAAATAAAACAGGAATAAATTAGATACAGTACATTGATTTTTCTCACTAATCAGGGAGCAGGAAAAAAAACCCGTTTGTCCACCAATTTACAGCGAAGTAGTCTCTCCGTGTCTTACGGGGACAGGGTTGCAAGACACAAATATCCTATTTTAGCTCTCAAAGTCAACATGAATATATTGCAGATGAAAGGATAAATTATGACATGCTGCTATCGTGCTCTTTCTTTCCCCTTACCCCAAAGAAGAGACACTTGGGTGCTGCAGTGGGATCGTTTCCTCATTGTCTCTGCTGCGTAAGCGCTCTACTTTAAAATTCCGAAAATATCTTAAATTATTCCCATTACCTAGGCACGCAGAAGCAGATGGGTCGCACACTGTAATGAGTACAACTAAATGTGATTTAGAGGTTAATTAGAGAAGGTTTATTTTGAGTGACTGCAATAATCCTCGTAGATATCCAGGTAATTAATGCTGCTGGATGATCCGGGTGCTCCGAAGCGCCGAGAGGGCAGTGGTATTTCACGCCGCCCCCACTGGAGGAATGCAATCTGATTTCTCCCCTTTCTAGGAGAGTCGTTTTCCCTCCTCACTAAGGTTACGGTCAAGAACCCAAACAGTCTAGACGTCTGAGAAAAGTCCCTGCCTTGAGTTTCCTCCGAGACCGCCCCCCCCGCGGCGGTCAGCTCCCCACGGCTCTTTTAAACTGGTCTCTCACCTCCTCCAGCCCCAAGGAGGGCCAGGTTGGCGGTCAGGCCCAGGGGAAGAGGGCGGGAAGGAAGGACCCCAGGACGAACGGAGTTTTCTCAAGTCTTCCAGACAGTTAGCAACCAACCAGAGATGGCCCCTTTCCATTCGGTGCTAGCCGGACAGGGGAGGCCGAGGAGAGGAGGCCCAGGGCCGAGGCTCTGCTTCAGCCGTTACTTCTTACTCGCCGGCCTCGGGCTCTCCTGGGAAGGGGATGAAGGAGCGACGACTTTTTCTCCACTTACCTCCGCGGCTCGCCCCGCACCAAGAAAAGGGCAATTTTGCCCGCATCCAAAATGGCGGGCTGAGCTCCGCGCTCGACAAGAGCGTCTATGACACCAGTTCTCTTCCAGGGGTCCCTCCCCACATCACCCGCCCGGCCCCCACCCAGCCACCTTGCTCCCGGAAATGACGTAGCCGCGCCGGCGGTTCTCCCGCTGCATGATGGGAGAATGTGTGGAGTGGGCGGGGGGAATCTCCGCGGAGGAGGAGGAGGAGGAGGAGGAGGAGGTGGAGGAGGCGGCGGCGGCGGCGGCGGAGGCAGGCGGAGGGTAGCGGGATGGGGGTACCGCGGCGCCGCTGAAAGTCCGGGTGGGTGTAGATGGCGCCGCTCCGCTGAGAGAGCGGCGGGAAGCTCGGCCTCTCTAGTCGCCCACTCCGCTCCGCCCCGGAGGAGCCAGTTCCTCCCCCGGCCCCGAGCCATGCCCATCGCGGCCGCCTTGGAGGAGCCAGGTAAGAAGCGGTCGCCGCGCCAGGGTCGCCTTCCTTCTGAGGACGGGGCTGCCCAGACGCTGGAAACTCCCACCGCGCCGCCTCCGAGGCCGCCCCGGGGCTGGCCGGAGCAGGGGGCGGGGGGGACGGAGGGGCGGGCGGCAGCAGTGAGGGGCTCCTGCCTGGGGGTGCGGGGAAGGAAGCGGCTCTGCGGGCCTGCGGGCGAGTCCGTCCTCGGGGGCCGGGGCCGGGGCTGGGGCCGCTCCCCCCCCAGCCCCGCACCCCGCTGCGGGGCTCCGGCCGCCGCCCTGACAACCCCCAGCTCCCCGGCCCCGGCCGGGGGCGACCTCTCCCCCTCCCCACCTGGACCCACCCCGCGCCCCTCTCCTGGTCCAGATCCCTCTACCTGCCCTGATTTGCTCTTCTTCCGCTCCCTCGGGAAAAAAAAAAAGCATGCACACACACACACACACACAGACACACACACACACACAGAGACACAGACACACACACACACACACACACACACAGAGAGTTGTGAAGTTTGGAGCTTTGCTTTCTCTCCCCCACCCTTCGCCTCTTCCTCGTGACAGGTGTAAACACGGCTTCCTTGCCCGAGGCCGCCGCCTGACCGGCCAAGCCACCTGCCCCTCTCCGCGTTCCCTTCTCCCCGCCACCCTTCAGAGAGATCCCTGGTGCCCGCGATTATTTAATGTACCGAGGTCGGACCGGACCTCCTAGGTTGGGAGGTAGGATGGCCTCGCTTGAATACGGGATTGGTTTAAATGCATAGGAGGGTGGTCCCAAGTTCTACTGGGGTTTTCCCCCACGGTGACACTGGAGAGAACATCTGGCCCGTGGTTTTGTTTGGAGCTTTTTTTGTCCCGGTTGAGTCTCCAATTTGGGCCGAGAAGAAAAAGGAATATAATTCATCCCTTTTCACTGAGTGGTTGGCAGACGGAAGCAGCGTTCAAGTTGCTTTAGGGTTTGGGTTTTTTTGGTGTTTTTCTTTTTTAATTTCTTCCACTCCTAGGGGGAAGTCAAGTCGAATTACGCTTTTGAACTTTACCTAAGGTGTAAGCCTACCCTTCCTGCCAGCCAACTTTCGAATCCTTTCTTAGGATAGGAGTTACCTTTTAAAATGAAACTTGTTTGTAGTTTTGAAATTGCCCTTTTAGTCATGGGTTTTATAAACTGACAGCACTGAAATGCTGACTTGGCTAGTAGGATGTATCAACATTTTGCATACTTTACTAACTCAGAATGCTGCCTTTTTTGTTGTAGAGGTCATAGATTTAAAGTTGGAATAAACTTTAGAGGCAGTTTAGTCCAACCCCTTCATTTTACGGATGAGGAAATAAACTCAAAGATGACTTATCCAGGGTCACACAGGCAGTGACAAAGCTGAGATTTGAACCCAGGTCCTCTGACTCCAAATCCATTGTTTTTGCCAGTACAGTAGACTATTTTAATTTAACTTTTGCTGAAGCGTTCTTGCCAAACCTCATCAGCATTAACTACAGTAAATGAATAAGAAGGTTCCTGAACATTATCTGACATTTTATCCACAGAAATATTAGATGGTGTATAAACTACAGCTAGTGTTTTTTAAATTAATATGCAGATATTATGCCCAACCATTGCAAAATTGTATTTTAAATTTCTGGGAGGGCATGTATATTAAATTGTACATGTTCCTCCATAAAGCAGATGGGTACGTTTTCTAAAAAGTTATGTTGAAAAAAAAAAACTGTTGGAGGTCAGACATTTTCAGTAGAATTCGTGAAAGGCAAGTTTTGACTTTTAGTTCAGTTTTTAATCATAAAAGTATGGTAGATGTCTATTTTAGTATTGCATTGTTCAATTTCTTGATATATACAATTATTTAAATGATTATAAAGCTGTTACTTTTCTTAGTTTTGATGATGCAGAGGCAGAAACTATCAATAATTACATTGTGTTTTGCTGGATCAGATGAATCTTATTTGTTAAAGTGAACAGTTTGGAACTTAATTCTCTGGAATTTAAAACTTTGTTTTCTTTCTTCATGTAGGAATTATTGCAAGCTAGATTTGCATTATTACAGAATTTTTTTAAAAATTAGAATTCATTTAGTTCATAATTAACTAATTCAGGAAAAAATATTACTCATGTCAGTACTAAATGCATACTTTATATAATCCTTAAAACTAACCCCAGGGAAATTGTCTGCTAGCTCCATACACCTCTCATCAAGAACTTTTAAAAAATTCTCATGATAGAATGTACCAAGTGTTTGGGTCTTTTAAAACCTATTATAAATCTTTCTGTTAAAACTTTATTATTCAACTGTGTTTGCTATAAGTAAATTATTATTGTTATTTAATATTTTATATTCTCTTTTTTAAGTGGGCCAGTGCAAAAAATGTTATCTTCTCCAGTGTAAAAATTTCCAGGCAGAGCTTTGCAAAAACATGTTTGTTTGTATTCAATCTATCATGTAAAGAACTTATTAGTATTCTCTATGTACCTGAAAACATCATATCCATTCCATATATTTGACTTAATGCTGTAACTAGTTATGAAATATTTAGTTGTTGGTTAATCTCTCCCCTTCTACCCCTGTGCCCTCTAAAAAGCTTCTTAGAGACTTCACAATTGTTATATAATTAGCATTATCACTTTGTATTAAAAAAAAAAGTCCTTACCAAGAGTTCTTAAATGCCTTAAACAATTGCTTGGTTTGAGAGTTTGAGAGATAACCTGCTGTTTCGCATTAAAACCATATAAATGAATGTTTTTGTAACTTTCAAAAGACTTGTCTTTTACATTAAAAAATGAGTAGAGGTTAGAATTTCCTTTTCTTCTCTCCCTCCTAATAAAACATCTGTTGGGGGTTTTCCTTTTCCCACCCACCAAAGTCTCTGTCTCCATCCTTCTAAGCACTGGCTGGTATTGTGAGAGGAAGGATAACCTTATTTTAGGACCATACAGTAAGAAATGAAATCTACCTTATAGTTTATTTAGCCCAGGCTGTCACTTTATAGGTGAGGAAACAGGCTCACAGAGGCTAAGTTACCTGCCCAAGATCACACGCTAGTCATGACAGAGTTGGGATTTAAACAGGAGGCAGCTAGTTGGTGCAAATTGGGTTTCACGTTTTCTAGTTGTGTGACCCTGGGCAAGTCATTTAACTTCTGTTTCATAAATATATTTTAACTTCTATTTGAATTAGTTTCCTCATCTATAAAGTTGGGATCATACTAGTACCTACTTACCAAGGTTGTTGGTAGGATAAAATGAGATAATATATAAATGCTAGCTATTAAATTCAGGTTTTCTGACTCTAAAACCAGTGCTCTTTTCACAGTACCCTGCTACTACAGTGGTTTTCCTCTGCCTCTCACCTTCCTAACCCATGTGCATCCTTTGTCCTCACCCCTGCCCTTTTCTCCTTTTCTTCTCTCCCCTCCCTTCCCATTACTACTCTTCATATCAGAGCCCTCACCTGCACTCCTTCTCCCCAGGCCTCTGTTCCAGCTCTTCCTTTGCAATCCCCTTCCTTCTCCACAAGCTGCATCTCAGGTGCTTCCCTTCTAGCCTCCAGCTTCTCTATTTTCTCCAACCCTAGGCTGAACCAACTTTCACTGCTTTTGTCCCAGTTCTGAAAAACTGATTTACAGATTAACTTTTGGGAGACAACCAGTTCATAAATTGGTAGAGTTTGTATTTCATTTAGTATTGTTTTCATTTGCATTAGAAAGGTAGAATGGTAGAGTGCATAAAGAACCGTCCTTAAAACTAAGAGGTCCTGGGTAACCAGCTCCTGAAACTTACTGCCTGTGGGACCTTATGCAAATCAGTTAACCTTTTCAGTGCCCTAGGTGACTCTCTAAGTTGCTGGGATGGTACTCAGTCTCCTTGTAGAGAAACTTGTGGAGATTTCATTACCTTCGAGTTTCCTGTACCAACGAAATCAAAGTGGGGGTGGGGGGGCGGCCCCCCCCTTTTAAAATGCAGTAACTACTAGCTGGGGGAGTGTCTAAGGGCTTGGGGAGTGGTAATGAAAAAGAAAAGGGCTATCTCCTGGAGAGTATAGTAATTTAAATACTGACTTTGTCATAAACAATTTCCAATAAAATATCTATTATATAATTTTCAGTAGAATTTTTTAAAATGTATACTTTAAAAAGTAAAGACTGTAAAGTTTTCATCATTTTAAAAATGGCAGCTCTAGATTGAAACTTAAGAGTAGTCAAAACAGCCTTATTTTACTTTTTATCTTTTGATTTCTTTGATTATCTAAAATTAAGCACCAGAATCCCAGAAATGTGTGTTTCAGAAAGGTATGTTTCTGGATTAAAGGAATGATTTGTTTCTTTTTATTTGTTTAGAAGAAGGCTCTTTTGCTTAATGTTTGATCATACAATCATAGAGATCAGAAAAGATACAATTTTTGAGGTAGGTACTCTGTGGACAAACAACATAATATTTTACTTTTTAAGAAAATAAGTAGATTCTAAATTTTTATGTAGTAAATTTAAACATATGTGCTGTATGTTGCTGATAGTGTGCACAGCTTGCATAACCAATCCTTTAGCATATTACTGCATTCTGTACTTGTTAAATTAGCACACAGCCTGAATTTTTGACCTTCTCTTCCTTTCAGTTCTTCTTTTAATATGACTCTCTTTTCTTAAACTGGTAAGCTCTATGATAATGAAAAGGGATAGTAAGAGCTCTTCTGCCTGTTGCTAAAGTGTTTTACACAATCAACCAGTGAGTATATCTTCAATGAACCTTTGAACAAAGAATTTCACTTCTGGGCACTCTCATCTTGGTTTTTTGTCTTTATCAAATACAGCTGAAGGTTGATATGCTGTATAACTACATACAGTGAATTTGTCATTAAATTTAAAAAAGTAGGCATCTTATTTTTACTAGGAACAGATAATATAATGTAACCCTAATGTTAATAAAATGTTTCACCATTATTTTAAAGTATTTTTAAAGACATTCAGGAGAAACATTCAGGCTGTTTG